CAGGGAAGTAAGTCCAGGAGGCTCCCCCCGTGCAAACCAGCCACCTGCGGTGAGAAGCCAAGGTGAGAACTGGAACCCTGCCCTGGGTTCCCAGGCTTGTGTAAGTCTGTGATTCACCGCGCAGCGGGTCCGTCCGACACGCCTAAGAGAAATTACAGGTTTCTCTCGTCTGATGCAAACCCATTCGAGTGAGTCACTTGTTTGTCCTTCCGTTGCTGCTCTTCATCTCGGAGGGTCATGAGACTCTGTTGTATCTACTGCATGGGGCCGATCAGAACGCGGTGCGGGGTGGGTGGGGGTGGGGGTGGGGCGGGTAAAATGCAAGGTTGTGTCCCTGCGGTTGATGATTTAAAGGCCGTCACATTTTTGCCTGTACTGACGTTGAACTTGGAAAACACTGGCGAGGACATCGAGCAGTACGTTGTGATCCAATCCCTACCTTAATACCAAAGAGATTTTTGTTTTATTTTTTAATGACTGGGGAACCCAGACATATTCTCTGTCTGAGTGGCACAGTCCCCGCTTGTGGGAGACTCCCCACGATCGTGGACCTGGGCCAGGGCAGCCTGGTGGACTGTCCATCTCATCACCACATAGTCCCACACACTCCAATTCTAGCGTCTCCTATTTACATACCTTCCTGGCCCCCCAAATCAGATGAAAACCTCCATTGAAGTATTACCAGGAGAGATGCTGACAGTAAGGAGAAATAAGTGAAAAGCAGTTTAGTTACAATGTTTGTAGTAAAAAGGATCCAGGAGGTGACATTTGTGGAAATAGGTCATTCCATTTAGGTCAATAGTTAAGCACTGCATCATTTGGAAATTGGAAAAGCCAGTATCATCAAACCTTTGGTTGTGTAATCAAAGGATTTTATTGAACATATTCTATGCACAAGGTACTCCGTTCTGTTCTTTGGACATACAAACATGAGTGACAGACAGAGTAACAAAAATGAGTAATCCTGTCCCCAAAGGTTTACGGTCTTATCTGGGAAAGAAAATACATGCCCACAACAACAACAAAAAGTAAAAGTAAATACAGAATATTACATAGTAAATGTTGGCTGTGACATGAACAGCACAGGTGATAAATATTATAGGAAATCAGGTGGGGAGAACTAGCACTTCTGGTTGGACCAATCAGGGAAGACTTCACAGAGAAGGCAAAAGGTGATGCAGAGCTCCGACGGCGCTCTGGATGTACGTCTGCGCTATGATGTACACCCCTTCTGAGACAGGGAACCGTGAATCACAACTCTGGTAACACTGAATGAAAAGATCGTTCAGCAACTTTTGCTGGCCGATAGCCCTGATGTGAAACAGACTGAACCCAGTGCTTCATACTTTTATTTAAATGCAATGAACTAGCTCCCGTGAGAGAGTGTCTCACCCAAACTCATGCAGTTGGCGATGGCGGTGTGCTGGCTTGTGTTTGTATGAGGGTTTGTGTGTGTGTGTGTGCGCATGAACTCACAGATGCTCTAATAAATAAACAGCTATAACCATTTAGCTCCATGAGATTCTATCCTCCTTTTAATATAATGACTCTGGATAAGTGGCATGTCTTCATCCTGAAATCTCTGCATTGAGAAAACCAGGACTGTGTCTATCCCATTCCGTTCCCTTGAAGAGAGTCTACACATATACTGGGAAATGTGAAACTAAAACCTTTCTGACTTCACTTGAAAAGGATGCAGTTGACCCAAGATGAGCAAAGCCACTGAAAAGATGGCTCGTTCTCCAGGTTGGTGCATTTTTCTACTTTCCTATTGACCTCTTTATTATATTTTCGCTTTCTTAAACTTCTCTCCTTAGAGGAAGTTTTTGTCGTTAAAAACAAAAAAAAAGGAGAGTGAGACTCCGCTCATTGACAAAGTGAGTCTCATTGTCCCAGTTGTAAAGTAACATCATTAATACTGGCTTCTAGGTAGGATAACAAGGGGCTACATGTGGCTTCTTTTCCTTTATCCACTAATTTTCTTCTGCTGCATCTGCTTGTGTGCTTGCTTAATAAAGGAGCTTTCATTATTTTTTTTTCTAGAAGGGCATTCACCTATAATACTGTTCTCCTATCAGGTGGCTCCTGGTTTGAATGTTGTATTTGTTTACATACAAGGTTAAGAAAATGAGTGGCTCACTACCTGAAATATGATATTTCTCCTTCCTCAGCGCAGGTTTCAAAACATCATGTTGTTGGTGGGGGTTGATCTGACACTGAGTAGACAGGGCGGCGGTCAGTGGCTCCATGGTCTTGAGGAGAAAGTCCACGACTGGGAGCCAGCGGACTGGGGTTCCTGCCTTTGGCTCAAGCTTTGACCTAGGCTTCAGTCTTCTTCACATAAACATCTGGTTCAAAAGCTCTACGCTTTTCACGTGGCTCACAGCCAAAGAAGTTGCGTCTAAGCCCAAGCCAGGCCACCATGCAATCAATTTAAATTTGAAGGGTGGAACATACTGACAGTTGGATTCCTTTTGTCCAGAGAACCAGCAATGACCTACTTAGAGTCAGCCCAACTGTTGGTGGCTATTCATGAGGGCCCTCCCTCAGCAACCCACAGAATCCAGCTAGGTGGCATCGCGGGCCACCATTGCCACGAAGAGCCAGAGCTCTCTTCCTGAGGATGAACATGATCCAACTGTGTGGAGCTGGAGGCCCCTACAAGACCAAGGTCCTGCCGTCCCCTTGAAGATGCCCAGGACGATTATACACAGAGACGGAGGGTGGGGGAGATACATGTGGCAGCGCAGCACAGCTCAGACAGGGGGCTGTCCATCCTCTCGTATTTATGCTTCACGTGCTCCTCCATCAGCACCACTGAGTGGGAGGTTTCCATCACAATCCCCAGAGGCAAGGAGACAGGAATCAGCGTATTTCTCCTGGGAGCTCCGCCATCCCTGGGATGTATGACCTGGCCAAGAACGAAAGTCACAGCCTTAACATACAAGCAGCAAGATCCAAAAGCCCCATGACCACGGCATATAGAGTCACTTTTTCTGGAACAACAAGCCCTTTGGGTAGACCCCCCTTGGCAAATGGAGAGTCACTTCCCCTTAAGTCACTCTGGAATCCAGGGAAAGCCTTGTTCTCTTGGCTGCAAATGCTGAGTTGCAAACCTTGTCTGTCTCAAAGCTGGACCACGTCCTTTCCTCTTGGCAAAGACTTCTTTCTTTGTACCAGGCCCTGGGGCTGCTGCAGAGGGTCCCAGTCACAGAGGCCGCTGGAGCCGGGAAGTACTGGGGTGGGGGGCAGAGTCTCTCGACATCTCTCTCTGTGTCTCTGTCACTCTGTGTGTCTCTGTGTGAGTCTCAGTCTGTGTGTGTGTTGCTCTCTCTGTTTATTTCTGTATTTCTCTGGGTCTCTCTCTCTCTGCAACCCTCAGCCTCTCTCTGCATCTCTCTGTCTGGCTGTGAAGCTAGGGGTCCCAGAGTGGGGTCCCTGTCTCCCTGTCTGGTCTTCTCTCTCTGGATCTTGAGGGACATACAGACAGAGGATTGGAAGACGTGTTTGTGCATGTCCCTGTATCTGGGCAGCTCTCTGCCCACTCCGAGCTGCCATACCACGTCACTAAGTGTCCCCATCTGTCTGATTCCCTCTTGGCTCCCTTCTCTCTGTTTCTCTCCGTGTCTCTGCCTGTCTCACAGACCCTACCTTAAATGCGAATTAACTTCTACATTATCTCCAAGGCCTCTCACAGATAGCGTTCATCATAATTCCTTGACCTTTTCACACTAGGGAGAAGAGAGAGGCCACAGTGGGAAATCTGGGGATGTCAATATGATGGAGGATGTCTAGGGGGCTAGAGAGGAGGGGGAGAGGGAGCAGCCATGTAGAGGAGACGCCTCTGCTCCCTTCCCTCTGAAATACACTCAGGCTGGAGTGCAAGCATCCTCAGACAGGCCTGACGCTTTTACAGGGTCAATAAAAGTTTTCAGAAGCCCAAGAATTAGAAGTGTGCCTGTCTCTCTAACCGTAGCTAGCTGAGAGTAGATTGTAGAAGGAGAATCCTTTCAATCAAGAAAAATCATTTCTAACTAGAATGCATCAAACTGTGATTTTTTTTGTAAAGAAATGTCATATACATGCCATGTATGTGGGGACCCCACTGGCTTATCACTCACCTCCCAAGTTAGGAGTGTGGCTGGGTTTGTTAGCTTGGTCCTTTGGTGGGGTGACGAGAGAAGTCAGAAGAAAGGTTCTGTGGAAGACAAAGGATAATTGGATTTGTCATTAGTGGTCTGTTTTCGATTATCACAATTACTCGAAGCACATGGAGAATTATTTCACTAAACACAGTATTACAC